TTGTAAATCTACTCGTAATTCAGTAATCTTCTGTACTGTAATGAATTTGATGATAAAAAGAGAATGAATGAAAATGAAGGATAACATCATGCTGTATAGGATGAAATCACAGATCATAAGTCTTGCTACTGTGGGAAGAGCGTGAGTAATGTGTTGTGTATGAGTTTGTTGTTTAATTTACACTTATCCTCTGAGTAGCTTAGCTCAGTTGGTAAACCTGGTGGTAGCCACACTGTGTGGGCTGAACTGTGGACCCCATCAATTCCTTCCACTGCTCTCCTCGATTTCAGCTGGAGGCCTGAAACACAAGTTAGTCTTATGGTTATGGTTATGGTTTTATATTTATATAGCGCCTTCCACGATCGAAACCGTCTCAAGGCGCTTGAAAAATATATGTGCATAATGTATGGAAATAAATTTGACCGGAAATAACCTAAACTAACCAAACAGAATAACCTACAAAACAGATAAAAAATAGAATCACACATCATCACACCGTTTCACTGACCGACCAAGGCCGGACAGCTATTGATTTCACAGGTGTCATAATGATGTGTGTAACTAAATATTGGCCTATCGAGCAACAAAAATGAACGAATGTGAGTGGTCTATAGTGAGTTATAAAGATGAGTTATTTGAACCATTGGTCGTTTGTGCAATGTTGCCCATGTTCACGTTGAAGAATACCAATACACTGCCAAATTCACCACCAGAAGGACCCCAAGTACCCCTGCAAATAGGTCTTCGTATTTAGTGGGTTATCCATGGTGCGAGTTAAATCTTGAGGCAATCTCAGCAACGTGTTGAGACTTCTTTTGTCTATCTACCTTATTTCTGCTTCAATGAATTATTATACAATTTACTATTATTAATATATAATCTATTATATGCAATATTTATGTTTGAAGATTAAATCATAAATATTCATTCTTTCACATTTTCAGAACCTTAAAAAGTTTATGGTACTAGAGGCAAACCAACATCAAAATCCTAAATGGATGTTGAAAACATGGAAAACCTCAACTGTAGAGGGCACTGTTCCAAGACAAACTATCAGTGGTGATTGTGGAGTGTTTGCTTGTCAGGTAAGTCTGAATTGTTTGCCAGCTAAAGTTTTTAATTATGTTTTCAGCCCTCTCTGGGGCTTCAAAGTGCTGGTAACTGGAGTGATAATGGTGGTGCCTCTGCTTCTGGTTAGTTTGTAGGCTGTTTACTGGCTTAGTGTTCTGAATTTTTCTATTGCTGTTTATTTTCTCAAGCACCTTGAGCATTTTTTTTTAATGGATATGTATACAAATTTTATTTATTATTAGATATTTTCTGATACCATTTAATGATATTGATTTGATTATTTATAAACAATTTTACATACATTCACATTGAAATTAGAGAAGGAAAACTAATGAGTATCAAAATAAGTAAAGCATAATGAGATAATCTAGAGGAAACTTGACTGACAAAATCCAGAGGGTGTCATTGGTAGCTTGCTTGAGTCTTCAAGTAAGATGCTTTGTGGTAATTACCTCGTCCTTCAGAGTTGTCGGAGGTCCATGTGCATTAAAACGAAAGCAATGCACTATTTAGAATATGTATGGGAAAGTATCCCGGCGTACTGACCATGCAGTGGCGGGTCCAGGAATTTCAAATAATGGGGGCCCAGGATGGGACTTCCACAGATGGAGGGTCTATATCACCTCAGCCCCATCATTTATGATTGTAGCACCTCTAGTGGGGCTGGGGCTGGTTGGCCACAGGAAGCGCTACAATGCTACCGATGTGGATCTTCAGGGACCTAAACCAAATTTTCAACGAGTAACATATATTAATACTTACATTTACTGTACATTAAAGTAATACTATATTTATCAAAAGTAAAGGGTGGGCAGGACAGCAAAACAATATCATCAGAACTGGACAGTTGGAATATCTGACAGTATTTTTCTTTTTTTTTTTGTCTTCTGCGACAGTTTGCAAGGTGTATGGTTGCCAGAAATTCTGCAGAGTTTCATCAAAACGAGATGCCTCAAATTCGTCAACAGATGATTAGTGAGATTCACGAGGGAGAGGTTGCTCTGTAGTTTGATGGAAATCTCTGATTATGTTTTAACTACCTCATGTTTTGATGATTTATTATTACTGTACAGGTCTCCCTCCAATTGAAGACCTCTTTTGGGGTCAGGGTTTCTATAGTCTTTAGCAGCTTTGGTCTCTAATTAGAATGATAGACATTTGTTTATTTAGGACCACAGAAAAGTGGTCTTTAATTAGAGGTGGTCTTTAATTGAAGGGTTTTTAATTAGAGGGAGACCTGTATATGCTGCCCACTCCATTTAAGAATTATTTATGCAAAGTATGTATTGCTGAAGATGTTTCAGAATTCATGTGATTGAATTAAAAATGTTATCTATTCATGTTCTTTAAAAATGTGGGTGAAATGCACTTTTAATCCAAGTAGCATTTAGAGAGTATGAAACAAACTCAGTTTGGGGGGATCAGGGTGATTCGAGGAATTGTGATTTTTTTTCCCTTCATCTTGTTCTGAAAATGAACTGAAGTTTGAAAAATTTGAAGCATCATGACTACATTATATTCCTTGGGGTTGTTTCATACTTAGTGTTGAACCTAATAGTTATATTATTAAAATGATATTGATTATATGATGGTGATGTTCATTATAATGATAATGATGATGATGCTGACGACGAATATATAATTACAATAATAAAAATGTCAATGGTTTTTTACAATAATTAAAAGAAAATTAATATGTTCTTTATTTTAATATTTAGAGATGTTTTAAAATGTTTTTTTTTTTAATTCTCTGTAAGAATAACAAATTTAAATAACCATTTCATTTCATAATATTTATTACCATGGTGCTGCAATTTATGAATAACGTTTGTGCCCAATATAACTCATTAGCTAAAAAATTTTGTCATATTTTTAATTATAATAAGGAATATAATCATAAAGAAGAGAAGCACTAAGCAATTTGATCATCTAGATGCACAGAGATCTTGTTTAAAACAAGTTGCGAAAAAGTGTACTTACGCATGTAAATTATTTAGAATTGCATTCAAACCACTTTAACCAGCAGAGGTATTGCTTCCATAAGCTGAACACTACACAAATTTCACAAGAGCAAATTTTAGGTAGAATATTGTAAAATTTTGTTCTTGTGAAATAAACAAGATTGTTTTAAGGATATTTTAAATTTATTTTTAAGTATTTTACAGAAGAAATATTTACTATGTTTTTGTGGTTATATAATAAAGATCATAATAATGACATTAACGTTGTGCACTGGATATCTTTCATGGATTCATATATTTTAAAAAATTTTAAAAACAATATAATTTTGTACTGCTCTGTGCACACTATCAATTTTCAAACAAATATCTGTGATTTGCCCATATATAGCATAATGATGTCATATCACACCTATATATGGACATATCACACCTATATATTGACATATCACACCTAAATATGGGCAAATCACATGTATTTGCCATATTTCAAAATGTGGACTGAACTTAAAGGTGGTAGGTACTGCCACCACCTGATCAAATCATCAGTAAGATTTAACTACAACATTTAGCTTACAATTGAAATTAGAACAAAGTAATACAGTACAAAACAAAACATTTGGATTCTGCTAACTGAAGAATTCAACTCCAGCAAATTTCCCTTTTTAGTAATCTTTAATTTTGATGACGTAGGAGTGAAGCCTTGACAAATGTAAAATCGACTATCCCCCACCACCTGATAGCACCACCAGAGCATGAGAATTAATATTTTGGTAAATTTAAGGATATTATTAACTTACAATTGATATTAGAACAAATTAATATAGTACAAAACAAAACAATAAATTTCTTTTTTTTTAGTGATCTTTACGTTTGATGACGTAGGAGTAAACGCTTGTAACAAAAAATCGACTCAGTTCTGACCTAGACTTCGAAGTGCTGTCTCTAGATTAAATAGTGCTGTCACTAGATTAACACGTGCTTTTACCAGATTTAAAGGTGCTGTTTTGGCACATTTATACATAACATGTTCTGGTAGCCACGGATTCATCAACTGTCTCAGTATAGATCAGTCTTTCTTATATTGCATGATTCGAGGGCATTTGTTATTTTCATTAACTGTAAACATGTTTACTATAACGTCTAGTACAGTATATGAACTGCCAATAATTTACTTCCAAACTATTCTCTTCCTTGTAGAAACATTAATGAGGCTGTTATCCATTTTATCACGTATTATACTTTTGAACATGCGCACATATAGTGAAGGGTTTTATTTTAAAAGGTAAAGTTCAAGCTGTATGTTATAAATGGTCAATAAAAATGGACCTTGACAGACGGTGACGGTTAATGCACGGGATTACGCGCATGTCCCACAAACAAACGCACTTGTTTATGTATGCTTATACGCTGCCGTATGTGTCCGTATCAACAATATCAAAGGGGTGATGCTTCGTGGAACGGCCCACTGTGTATAGAGTATTATAATTTAACCTAGCGGAAAACTATTATCTGATTTAAAAAAAATTATGATCCCTGTCTTACGTTGTTTAATATCCCTGGTCCTGATGGTTAAACACTGCATGTTAAATATTGAAGACAAACAATGTAAAATTGTACGGCCTACTGTCTGCTGGGCTATAAAACCTAAAACATATAAATGGGTGTCTGTCTTGCTTCTATAGCTTATTTATGTGATTCTTTTCTTTATCGAGATCACAGCGAAAAAATATTTCTCGGCAATTAACAGACGCATAAATAATATGCCTATATTTTTTTTTATATTCTTATCATAAACCCCTAAATCGACTGGTAATCGTTCTAGGAATAACGTAGATATTTGTCTGTACACCAGCAAACACTGAATTGTTTTGATATATGTCTTATTTATCGTTAACAACCTAATTTATTCTTTTAATTTTTTATTGAATTTTTACGTAGTTCAAAGTTAATAATCGTGCAGTATTATAATTTTTCTTAATTAAAAAAAGTGTATAAAAAACTATTCTGGTTAATTCCATACCGGTAACATTTATTAATTTCCTATAGACATAAAAGAGTTTCATGAACAAATATGAGGAAGATAACGTTGAACGTTACATACATGTATTGTAGTTAGTAACAGGTCGCCTCAGCGAAATATTATTAGGGTTGGATTTATGATCAGGTCATTCCGAGAGATAAATCTCATCTGTCATATTATACAGCGACGTGTCGATTGAATTTACTTGATATACGATGAAAAGATTGTTCTTTCACCTTTTCAACTTAACATAGACATTAATGGCAACCTTCAACTTAATCCCGAATAGTTTTGTTTCGAAAAGCAAACGTGATGATAATAAGGTCTTTGTGTCTTTTATGTTATTTTTATTCTAAATATTTCTCGAAAAATAGTTTAGGTGTAAAACTAAAGTGCAAACTCAGTTTAAATTTTCTAAATTATTTATGTGTACTTAACATAGTACTTTTAGTAGTAGATAGTGTAAACAGAGGTTTAGGATCCAAGACAATAAAGCCCTGTCCACACTATCAAATGTGTATGATGTTCCCATATATGGGCATGATGATGACATATTATAACCCAAATATGGGCATGTCACATTTATTTGATAGTGTGGACAAAGCTTCAGACATAGGCCTATATTTTTTGTTCTGGGGAACCATTCCTGTCCTGGTAAATAGTTTCATCTGGTTTCAAATAGCAACAAGTATCTCAAGGAATTATACACATTCATTCCTGTCCTGTGTTTCGATTTTTGATACATAGAGAAATAGAACACATGGTGCATCCAAAGCGCTTTTCCATTATTCACTTTAACCCATTAAGCCCTCCAATAACTGTTAAATGGAACAGTCCAAATGTCAACATTCAACTTCTTCTTCTTCTTCTTTCTTTCAACTCAAACATTTAACCTTACAACTTTTTAATTAGTATGCAGTACTAATGTAGGCAAGGTGTTCCATAGACCCTTGCATATACTTATCAATTACGATCGTTCATTACCTTAATTGATAATACATTTAGTTAGCTTATTAATATTCATTTTTAAGTTCTGTAGAGTATATATACTCGTAGTTAAGAATGGCGAGTTTTGGTTTGTTTTCTGTGTGTTTGTACTGAAGATGGGTTGAAGAGTAGGCATGCGCCCGAAACATGTTTACCATCAATTTACGTCCGTTTTTAGTTCGAAAAATCTGCCTATTTGTTTACTCAGGAAGTACCGTACCAGAAGATATCCTCATGCTTCATCGAAGCTGAATTGTACAATTTCTTACATAATGCAAAACGTTCCGCGTTTTTTCCGAAAATAAATTACTTTGGTCTCGCAGTATATAAATACAATCCATGTTTTATGTCTTCATTTACCGTATCCTTTTAATAATCTGCACAGATGACAAAGATATTTTATGCCAAGTTTCATGCTTTGGTAATTTACATCTCAAAACCTTTCTGTCTGTCTGTATGCTCTAGAGACTAATGTGCGCAGCTTTTATGATGTAATTCTGTATTTCGACTTACTTATACTTGAATTGTAATTTGATGTGCAATTATTATAACTATTTTGATATACAATCATCATCGTCATTTGTAAGACTTTATGTGTCTTGCATTATACTTTGTCATAAATGTTTCCAAGAACGTTCCCCCTAAAAAGCGTTTGTGTCTTTCCTGTTACGTGTACCACTGTTCCTAGACTTTCATATTATCCTTCATTTCGACATCATTAATACAATAGTAACTGATGTAAATACTAGTTATATTAATGTTACAGCCCATGGATTTATAATGATGTGTACAATGCCGTGCGCACGTGTACCGTATGTTGACGAGAACTAAAATCATTGGCTTACTTTATTAGAATTACAAGTCAAATAATTTGGCACAATCGTTTCCGTAGTCAACCACAATTAACTTACTGCCGTCTTTGCTAATACACACACCATTGGGATACTTCAGTCTGTCAACTTCGTTATCAATACGGCAAATGAAATTTCCATCAGAGGTGAATTTCAAGATCCGATTATTCCAATCGTTACAAACGTACAAGTTATCGTCCTTATCCGTACAAATGCCACTTGGATATTTCAGGGCCTCGCCGTCCTGGGATAATATGAGTTCTTTCAAGAAGTGTCCATCCTTGTTGAACACCTGCAACCGATGGTTTTCGCGGTCTGACACGATTAGCTCATCTTTTGTGTTAACTGTAGCTGACAAGGGTCCACGGAATTGCCCTCGACCGTTGCCGTTGTATCCGATATCGTGAATATGTTGTCCGCGGGCCGTAAACACTTTCACTGTGTGAAGTTCGTGATCGACGACACAGACATTACCACTGAGACTGAGGGCAAGACCACATGGTTTCTTGAGTACATTCTTACCAAATCGACCTAGTAAATGTCCCTCGATATCGCAGACAATAACCTGACAGTTACCTGCATCCGATACGTAAATTACACCGTCACCCGTTGTAACGATATCTGTCGGTTCGAGATTTTTCTCTAAACTTGGAAAACAGAGGTGTGTTTTATATCGTCCATCAATGTCGAAAATTCTGATTGCGTTATTCCCTGTGTCCGCTATTAAGACGTGTTTTTCACCAAACATGCACACGCCCCAGGGCTCCCGAAGACATCCCGAGTCACCACCATCTCCATCGCCAAATTTAAGACGATGAGTCGTCGACGACGAGACGTCAATGTAATAAGGACTTTCACTGAGTTGACGCCCAAGAACGGAGAGGATAAGACGGTGGCGTCCCTCGCTTATCGGGCGGAATGTTACATCATAGTTGCCATTATCTTTATTGCTTACGCGAGCGATTCCAACCTCGCCAGTCGGTGAACAGAGTTTGGCAGAGACTGGTATCGGTTGAGCATTTATTTCATTTCTTTCGACAAGATCGTCCATTTGTAATGTAAACTGTACATTTTCACCAACAGCAACAACCTGTGGCGGCGGTGCCTCAGAATTGAAAACGGTTCTGTATATTTTTGTTTCATTTTTCTCAATCTTTCCGAATATTTCGGATTCATTTAAATCATCTTCGCCGGCAACGAATCCGATCGAAGGTTCATCGGTTATTTGTGTCTCCACGTCAGTCTGCAAGACGCGTTGGAGTTTAACGGTACTCTGTAAACTCTGTGTCATGAGCGCGACCTCCTTACCACCTTCCAGAAGACTCTCTGTTACACTGTTAATACTATCTATCTCGTCAACTATCTCCACGAACTTACTAATTTCCTCTTCAATTTCTGAACTACGCTCATTGAAGAAATCGTTATACTCGTCCATCATTTTCTCCTCGTGTCTTTCAATAACTCCAGTTAGAAATTCTTTACGTTGCCGGATTTTGTTGATGTGTTTTTCACGACTGACATCAAGGTTCTCTTTTATTTTCCGCAACCCATAAAGCGTTTCACTGGCTTTCTGAGCTTTGCTCTGCGCTTTGTCGATCATGCTAGTCATGTAGGACCGCCGACTCTCGGCGGCACTTTCAATAGACAGCTGCCTGTGGACAGGAAGAGGATGCAACGTTGCGCAGCACTTTCGGCATATGACGCGCTCGCACGTCTGGCAGTAGAACTGTATCTCATATTCGGGATGATCTGGGCAGTGATCTGGGCTGAGGATTCTAATTCGTGCTGCCGGCATTGCCTGTGAGCTCCTGTACTCATCCATTGACTGGACTCTGTGATTTCTGGTCAATCGTAAGCGACGGTGTGCGCTCCCACAGTCGCTACACAAAAACTCCAAGCAGACAGTGCAGTAGTTCGATGCCGTCCTCTCGCAGCCATGGCACGCTGTGGAATTTTCCTCGCATTCTTTCTTGAGCGAGATGAAATCAATTATATTGTTGATGAAGAAATTATCTGGCAGACCAACGACACCATTTGCAGGTAGCGGATAATCCTTGCGACACACAGGACATGTCAATCCTTCATTCCTGTCAACCCATAATTCTAAGCATCCTTCACAAAAAGTGTGCTGGCATGGCAGCACTTTAGGTTTTGTCAGGCGATCGAGGCAAAGTGTACACTGCAAAAACTGACGATCCAAGTCTTCAGCTTTGAAGGTATTTTCGGTCGCCATGATTTTATGAGTCTTTCTGCAGCTGCAAAAAGAACAAATCCAATCAATCAATTAAGCAAACAATCAACTAACCAACCAATCAGTCAGTCACTTAATCAATCAATTGGTCCAACTACCCAACCAACCAACTGACGGAGTGATCAATAAATCGTCAATCAATCAATCAATCAATTAGTCAATTATTCTATCAACCGAATACATTGTCAAATGATAACATTACAAATCACCCTCTAATTCAAAACCAACTTTGGGTCGGACCTGAAAATTTGGAGTGGTCTCTAAATGGAGACCACGGCTAAGACTGGTCATTAACCAGCATAATAAGAAGGTAATCAAAACCGAAACCATCTAAATGGAGAATATTTCTAAACAGAGTTTTTTTTTAATTCAGCATAATTAGAGGTGATCAAATCCAAACATTTATTTTATCTTAAAAGACTTAAATATTTATTTCCTTTTTGTTGAATTTGTGTTAAGTTTATGACTAAATCAATAATGTTTTTTTTAGCAACTGGAACCAAATTGAAGCATATCTTTTATCTTCAAATATGATACCATATAATGTCAGATAAACACCTGAAATGAAAGTACCGGTACTAAAAACAGCCAAAACGCTCGAGCCATTGGGCGTCTTTCATTGGATCTCACGGATTTCAACACTTTAAAGAAATTATGGAAACATTGTCTTGTCATCGTTTAATATGAGATAATTATGTTAAAAAGAACCACGATTAATTCGTGAATACTAATTGATGACAATTAACGGTGCATTTGTTTTAAGCTTGTCTGGTTAATTTCTTCCAAACGTGTTCTTGTATTAGAAGTCTCTTTAGGACTTTAAAGAAGGTCACGGTCTCGAATTAGATGGGTCTCGGAATTACAGGCTTAGTGTTAAGTGATAGACCTCATATCTCTAATTAGAGGGGATTTCTAATTGGAGGGTGAACTTTATCACATTAATAATAACAACAACAACAGGAAATCCATCAATCAATCGATTATTGAATCAATCAAATACACTGAGATACTGAGCATGATAAATGCACAATATAATAACAAGAATTATTATTTATTCCATATTAATCAATGATAATAATAACAACGTTAAACCAATCCATCGATCAATCCATTGTTTAATAAATAAATCAATTTATCAATTATTCGATCAAATATATTTTAACATATTAAATTCTTAGTAGCCTATAATATTTACATAGCATTGCAAAGCTTTTTACTAAATTATTGTATAGTAATTCATGAACAACACTATATTATTCGATTATCTTATTTGTTTTATATATTATGTATATATATATATGTATATATATATATATATATATATATATATCTAAAACGTCGAGTATTAATTTGAGGATGGAGTCATCATATGTCGACAATTCACACGAATAATCAATTGTACAGTATAAGCTAAGAGTCGAAGATTGCTGACTGTATTTGAACAAAAATCAAAATAAATAAAATTTTCTAAACTCTACACATCTATTTAAGCACGTAGACAATAGGCCTAATTGATACACTTTGGTGATTTTGCAACCTTTTGAAAATGATACTGTAACAAATACAGTGATGTGATAAAAGTTAGGAATGTTAAGCCAATTCTCATTCATATCTGTCACATGGGAAATTCCATAAATTCTGACGTAATTTTGACAGTCTCAGAATCTATATATTTTTTCTTGAAGATGTTTGTAAGTTTTTTTTATGAATACTTACAAATTAGTACCAACTTAAGCCAACAACTAAAATCACGCGATATTAGGCCTAATAAAAATTGGATCAGATTTTGGATATTTTGCTAGTAAATGGGAAGTTGAATTTGCTCCCTTTAAAACAGCGTTCTATTTTACTTTTATTGAATTTCAAATTACTTTAACCTGTCTGTTTATTGAATCACCTGAGCCCACTATACTTTGTCGCCATCTTCTCATTTGTCATCTAAAATTCCCACTAACAGTTCTGTCTCGTAGAGGCAAGACAAACAATTATGGTTAAGGCAAGACAAACAATTATGGTTAAGGCTAGACTTTTTTTACACATTGTTTAGCGAACCCACCGCCCTCCATGATGATTTCGAATAAATATAAAATTTTATTTTTGGTTAATTAGCGCACCCACCTCCACGAAAAAATAGAAATTTCAGAAAAAAAAAGTTCTATATTTTTGCCTTAAAATCTCCACAAACAAGATATATATATTTTTCCTAATTATATAAATTTTAAGCATTTAACCATCCCATTACCACACTGTTTGCATTCAACAATACAATTTCATTTTTATTTTCTCCTCTGTCTGGATGTTCTTGTAAAAACCATTTGCTAAATAAGAAAAAAACATTTTTATTTTTCTCCGCCCTCGTCTGAAGATCTCAGGTAAAAAAATAAGTTCGCGAAGCAAGGTAGGCCTATAAAAAAGTCTCGCCTTAAACGTGCCATTTCTTTTCCAAGCCCCCTTCTACATAGAATTACTTGCCTCTTTCATCAGTTCGCGATTCGCCTAATTTACTTACCTTTAAGAAAAATCTCAAGATGTATTTATTCAAGGAATGTTATTTACTTTCCTATTATTATTATTATCCTTTGATAAATTTAGAACTGCCTCTATATAAATCTATTATTATTATCATTTGGTTTACTACTCTACGGAATTGCCCGAGGTGTGTATGTGTTTTAAGAATCATGAAACACATTCGTAAGAAAAAAAGTATTTTATAAAAAATTTTTTTTAAATTCAGGCAGTGCTTATTGTGTGAAAATGGTAGGTGACCTTTGAAACACGCACCTTAATTTGTTTGAGTAATTATTAGGGATGGGGAGCGGAGATGGCCAGGCGATTTAGGCTTCTGTTGAAAACTGTTGTTAATGTTGATGCAGTCATGTCATCAATCATCATGTTCAAAGCAATACACACCCTGTCTTACTCAAAAACTTTTGAGATTAGGTGTGCGTTGGTGTGTAAGTGCAATCGCTTACCTCAGATCACAAGCATTGGACTGAGTATAAATGATCATATTTAAGTTATTGTTGAACCATATGGAGGGTTATACTAATTTAATCCTGGAGATGTCAAATTACTAGCAGTATAAAATGTGAAATCAGTATTAATATGATCGGATGTACATGCGTCACGTATACGTTATCGGAAACCTCCCCAAAACAACACACCATTGTGTTGAGCAAAAAACTGTTCGCTGCAACAGCTAACTACAAAAATAATAATCAACGCAATAGCAATTGTTGTGTAGTATTACTTACTTTGCTCTGCTATCCACCATGTCCTCGGGCAACCAGTTTTTCCAAAGATTTATTTTATTAACTAATAATTTATTTATATTAATATTGTTTTTTTCCAAAGCTTATCATTTGAAAATTATAGTTTGATAAGACAACACTTATCATATTTTATAGGTCTATCAAGGTTTGATGAGCAAAAAAAAAATAAATAAATAAAATAAAAAATAAAACAGTAGCAACACCTATAAAATATTAGAAATTATGGCAATTATTAACAATAAAATAAATAAATAAAACTGCTGATGACAAAGTTAAGAAACAATATAACAGATTACAACACGCCACCAATTACCGTACTTGCCATCCTGAATAGAGGAAACAAAAGTTCGTTTTGCATCAGGAAGAGTTATGCAGGAAGTGTTCACAATATTCCTACCTTTCTGTGGCCCTTGGTTCTGCAAGCTTGATTTTTAAAGTGACGCTCATCTCTTGCTTGTTCACCAACAAATGCGATAATCGCCTTTGCAGACGATTTACAACAAAATTTCAGCCTACCTTTTGTGTTATTTATGAAGCCACAGGTCGCCCCGTTGTTACATAAGTTTACTACTGCGGTTTACGCTCATAACTTGTGTTTGTTTTGACATGAGAATTCATGCTGACTAGGCCTATATATGTCACAAACCCCCTCAGGTTCAAGGGTGATCCATTCGGTGACTTTGTTTTGTCGATAAAATGAGTCACTAACTTCCAAATGTTGTATCACCCGGCATAGGATACTTTACACACGATGCTAAAGATTTTTATTCCAGAGCAACATCCGGGGAATTGGGATTGTGATTTGTTTTAGAATACAAAATTGTGAATGAAGAAACGAAAATGCAAGGTTACAGCAACAACAGGGGTGTCACCAATATTTGCTTGATGGTGGGGGAATACTTTGTCCTTTGTCTTTCTTTGGGGAGGGAGAACGATCCCACAGAACGATCAAATATGTTTTTCTGTTTTACCTTCTCAGCATATGCCGCAGTTTTGGCGCTAGAGGGGCTGGGGGGTATATCCCCCTATCGGGAAGCATATTCCCCTCCCCGTCGGGGAAGACGAGTAAATTTTGTCGGGGAATAAACAAATAAAAAAATTATTTACATATAATATTCGTTTAGCCACCATATTGTTTTCATTGAACTATTTGTGTTAACTTTTCATCACAATAATAATAATAATAATAATAATAATAATAATAATAATAATAATAATAATAATAATAGTTCAATGAGACTAATTCAAAATTATTCGCGTTCTGTTATGACAAATGCTAGTTTGAATAGCCTCATGATGGTTGGAATACATCGTGATAGGGGAAGAAACCTCGAGCTTGACAGCGTGGTCGACAAATTTCATGCAAAATTTCCAAAATGTAGAATTTCACTCTGAAGTATGAGGATTTGAAAATACATCAGATGGCTACAATGCATACTCTTTGTTTCTTGTTTTATACAAAATGTTTTTTTTTTAGTTTTGGAGGCTGATTTCGACATTTGAAAGCACATGAAGTCATATTATAGTAGCTCGATGCCTATCAAATCATCTCATCTCTTTAGTTTTAGTTTAAGCTTTAGTTTTTTTAGTTTTTAGTTTGTTTTTTTTACTCATCTCTAGTTTATTTTAATTTGCAAATGGAAGTTAGTTTCGACATTAAAAAACATACATGAAGTCGTATTATGGTAGCTTGATGCCTATCAAATAACTAATAAAAATTCATCAAAATTTGTCAATTATCTGTAGCTTCCAAGGGGCTTTGCCCCTGGACCCTCACCGGTGGCCCCTTGGCGGCCTCTTGGCCCCAGCCAAGTGAGGCTTGCTCCGCACGCCTAGCCCCCCCTCGGGCCTTTAGCGACCCCCGTCGGGCAGATCCTGGTGCCATCACTGATATGCCGGTGCCTGTACTTGTGAGGTCAATCAATCATTCGCGCAACAAGATATTTTTGGATAAAAGGCTGAAGAAATTGAAGGTTGACAGCAACTTGATGTTGTTGATGGCCCAACATTAACTTTGTCCTCTGCATGTTTAGAATGATTCACGAGCAGTCCTTACTAGGTGACAACTGACTTTCATAACAACAAAATATATGTTTTGATAAAATAAATAGGCCATAGGGGTTATGAAGAAATAGTGCACATTTTCATGGATTTGTCGGGTCACTTTTGTGACACCATACTACTCCCTACAATTTTATCTCAGTGCTGCCATGTGCAATTTTATTTCCAACATTCATTAATAAACATACCAAAATTTATAGGCCTAACATTTACAAAATACACAATTATTTGAATGCACATGGAATTTGATACAAAAGAAACATAAATTAAGTTTGCCCAAGAACAAAAATCAATTCAAATAAATTAAAGTCATTTCACCGTTTGCAACGTAGATTCAACACTTAACAATTTTAATGGATACGCCTATAATAGAGTCAGCGATAGCTCCAGAAATTTGCCGACAGGGGGTCCGACATGTCCGAAAGAGGGTGCGAACCAACGGGCCGACTAGAGCCTCAATCAAGGTCCAGGAATAAAAATCTCTGGTAGAGTTCTTCATGGGGAGAGATTTTATAGCTTAGTATGGCCCAAAAATGTACTTTTAGACCACAATATTAGGCAATCAAAATAAGGGTTATTTGGATAGGGGAATATTTTTTTTTGGCGTCGGACTAGCGGGGAACCCGGCCTGTCCGACGGGAGGTGAGGGGAATGCTGTTGTAAAAAAATACGTCAAACATTCAGTTGTTGTTTTAAAAGATATCAAAGTAGCTTCCAGTAAGACAAAATTCAGTTTTCGCTAACTAAATTCAATTCAATTCAACTTGACATTTACTACTTCCTTTTTTGTGTAATACAACACAATTTACGGTACTTCAAAAAATAAAAATGCAAAAAAAAAAAAAAATTATGTAAATTAATAAATAAGTGGAAGAAAGGAGGCACGACCCGAGAAGATAAGAGAAACAAATCTAATGGGCGGATTTAGTAGGAGCTGGGCCGGCCCCGCCCCCTCGCTACCTCCTTTGGGAAGTTAAAAAAAAAAGAAAAAAAAAGAAAGAAAAAAAAATTGATCGGCCAAAACACCTCAGAGGTTATTTTCGGGCGTCTATAAAACACAACATTTGCGGGGGAATGCCCCGGACCCACTAGGGTAGTGTTGTCTCGATCAGCCCCACTTTCGCCCCCCCCCTTTTTCCCATCTCTGGATCCGGCCCTGGGTCGTGTGGTGGGACAGCCTGAAATAAGAAAAAAATATAAGAGGAGACTGCTAAAATTACGAATGGTATAATTTATGTGTCTGTTGTTTGACAAGTGTAAAATATGTTCCTGTTCTAAATTCATTTGTAATCCAAGAATTCACTTTAATATAGAAAATAGGGCTGCCAATGTATTGTTTTACTGTAATTACGAATATGGTGGATTTAATGAAAAAAGGGAAATTCATTATTCGAATCTAAAAGCTTCAATTGCTCTCAACACAAAACAATTAATTTTGATTAAAAATCATTCTGACAACTATACGGCTACGACGTGACTTGTGCAGGTGGTAAGGTGAACAACCTAACATTATTTCGAACAGATGGCGATGGTCACATCAAGAGTCATTATGAGTTTTCTTCCCAGGATATTCGATCGCTGACTAGTCAACATCATCATTCTCATTAATATGCCACGTAAAAATCAAAACGTTATTCAAAAAATTGATACTAAATATTATTAATTATGTCTAATATGGACCCACGTTGGTAACTAATGTTGCATCATCAATGATGCTTAAGAAAAAAATTAATACAGAATGAAAAAAATATAAATGTTAAGGTACGGATGGTCAAATAATATAAATAAATTTGAACATTGAAAATTCTCCAATATAATATTAAATACGTCAATTGTACATAACAATTAACTCTGAAGAACCCCTTCTGACAACATCCTAGGCTGACGTGACTTGTTCAGTTGGAAAGGTGAACAACCTAAAACTTCGAAAACAGACTACGACGATGGTTACTTTACGAGTCTTTCTTCGTAGAATTGCGATATACGATCGCTGACGAATCAAGATCATCATCCTCATTAATAGGGGAAGTCATGTCAAAATCAAACTGTTAATCAAAACAAAATTATTAAAAGGCAATGGCTACAGTTACACCAGTCCTAAACAACTTCCTAATTTTGATTGGATGTTATTGTTCTTATACAATCAAGATTAGGCTTAATGTATAGGCCCATATTGCTAATATTAAGGATTTAGATGTATAAAGAAAAACATAAATACATATGAAAAATATATATACTTAGGTACGGTTGGTCGATTTAATAGAATATTGAACATTTTCAAGTTTAAATCGTCATCTTTTTATAATGGTTTATGAGAAGCACAGTGCTAATTATTTTCTGAAAGTGGGTTACATACTCACCAACAGATCTTGTTTTAAAGTAGGTTGCTCAACAAAGTAAGTCCTTATTACTAATAATGATTTACCCAACTTTCAAACAAAAATTTACCGTCACCTAGTAACCATCACATATTATTAGTTTGATCAAAGGGATTGAAACAATAAACAAATAATAAAAGTGGAATTTATTGTTTTAAAATCCTCCTGGTGAAACGCGCGAAGCTGTCTGGGGACTATCGCAGGTCGTTAACGTTCAAAGACCGTAATTAATTTGGACCGATAATGACATGATCTTGTACGACCCTTACACTCTCGACGTTCTTGGTAAAGCAAGCGGCTGAAGTACATATTTCTAGAGTTCCAAGCATAGTTTCAAATTATTCTTCAGCTAGACCTAGAAAATTGTTTCTAATGCAGACCTTTCCCAGAGTGTCAGATGCAATGCGGTATCTAGGAACCTTGAAATGGGACGGGGAGCTGATAGCAGTGGCGGCTCTAGAATATAATTTATGGGGGTGGGGACTAAGATGTCCGACTGGGGGAAGGCTAAGTATTTATGGGTGTAACTGTAGTGCGCA